GTGGTTTTGTGATGCGTTGGGAAGTTCATTAGTCTGATTTATATACATAAGTAGTATATATAATACGTTATGTGATTTATTGATGTAAAAGCTTGTCATAATTTGTCGACTATAGTACTATATTAAGTATGCTAAGAAATAATCGAATTACGAAAGCGATTTAGTATATACTCACCGTTGCCTAGTGTAGTTATAAAAAGTAGCTAATCATATGCCGATATCTCTTATCTTTAATAAATGGCGGCAATGAATCAATCATCTACGTTAATTATATATTATATCATATATTATATAATATATAATATAATACTGTTAACGAACTTCTTCTCACTAAGGCAGAAAGTTTTAGAGTCGCGTAACTTTGTTAATACTAAACCTGTTGAGTCATACTACGATGCGAGCAAAATGTGATAATCTACAGATAAATAAGTTAAAAGATTCCGACATTTGTTAATCCACTCAAAATTAAATGCATCTCGGAAATGGAGTCAGTGCTGAAAAAAAATGGATTATAAATTAATTTCGACCAGCACTATAACGTTTTGCAAGCTTGTGAGAAAATGTAAAAGATGACTAATCGAAATTAACAGCAGGGCAATTGAACTGCTCGTTACCGTTCTGGGAATAGCGTTACTAAAAATGCGCCACGGTCTGGTCGATCAGTCATTGATAAGGTTGTAAAAATTTCTCGCAAACTTGAAGGAGTCCTACACATTTTATCTCATAATATCGCTGCAGCACTAAGCATTGACCAAAAAACATTCAACGGTTTGCATAAATCTGCATACCAAAAAAATGCGACATTTGCCATAAAATGAATTTCCAGTGAAAAATTTATGGAATGAGCGTTCGTCTACAAATCGCTGCTAAAGATGAAAAAAACCGTACAAACAATGGCATAGCCCGAATAAACGTCAAGTAAGGCAATGCTTTATGTTTGATGAAGGGAGTAGCTTCAACCTGGCCGGAGGATAGGTTTTACTCTCTGATGTGTACATGAATAATGCTATTTAAGTCTGAATTTAAGATAAATCGTTCAGAATTCACCAGCAGCCAAGGCATGAGGTCCATAACGCCAATGCCAGAAAACACACAACACACACATAACAACGTGACGGATATTAAAAGGGCTAGATTAGGATGTTTTCATGCATGCGTCCACTAAACCTTAATGTAAGACAAACTTTTTTTTTCGGCTAGAAATTGTATTTTAACACTAGAACTACCAAAGTCTTGCATAATATCTATTTCTACCAAGAAGGACCATTTTGATCCTCTTTTTTTTATAAAATCGTCACAGTCATAAATGAAGATTGCTTGATCATGCGAAAACCCGTGGTTAATAGCTTCACGGAAACGAGAGTTTTAGACAAAAATATGTAGAAAGTGTAAGCATTTTTTGAGATAACCTCATGGTGGGCGAATGTGTCGACAAAGATTGTAATCTTCGGTTAACAAATTTTTTTTAACGATTTTTTTACATGAAGAAATACGTACACTTTCTTCATGGTAGTGAACGGGTTCTTATAAAAAGTTTTACAAAGAGATCTAAACAATACGGTGTACAGCTACGAGGTCAAAAATGAAAAGAAGGAAATTGCCGGTTTTGAATTCGAACTTGACTTGACAAGGATGGTAAGAAAAAATTTAATACTTACCATGTCCTGCTAAGCGAAATATTGGAATAGTAATAGAAAGACGCTATTGTCAATATAATTATTTTCATTTGTATGCTAAACCTTCATAACTATCAGATCTAATAAACTTTTAAAAATTTCGGTCGTATTCTTTAGCTTTTGAAAAGTGAAACAAATAAAAACACTATGGTGGAACATAGCCCACCATTACGTACCCTAACTCACTCTACAGTTATTTACAAAACGAATTTTCATAAAAAGGCGTGATATGGGAAGTGGTCGAAAAGGTCGTTCAATCCGAACTGTTTTCAATAACCTCTCCTTCCTTGGGCCGCAACATGGCAGTGTAACAAAGTAATAAAGAAAAGTTGCGTCTATCTCAAGTCTTCCTGAGTGTTGCATACATCCGTACAAACTTAGTATACCATTGTACCGCAAGCGATGGAGGATACAAGAGCGACCATCTTAAAACAAAAGAGTAGCAGAAAAATGAAATGAAGAAAATAAAAAAAATCAACTGAATATACAAGAATTTATTTTGCAAGTTTTTATTCATTGAAGGAAGAAAACTTTTACAATGCTCCGTTATTTTGAGAATATTTATGCTCCATAAAAATTCTTCTTGTGTTTATATTAGCAAAGTTAATAATTACACAAAACGTTTCAAAGAACTCAGGTAAGGATGCTTGGAATTCTGAAAGGACAGAGTGACGAGATGTGGGAAACCAAAAGGGATTCAGTTTAGAATTATTATGATGATGACGTATAAAAGTAACAATTTGAAGAAAAGCGAAATATTAAATTTCAAAATTTTTTTTTTTTAATTTAAGTTTAATAAGATAGCCAAGGCAACCTTGTGTCGGTTCGGAGAAAAACGGAGGAAATGAAATAAATCTTTTAAATTTTTATGTACAATTTCTCAGCCAACTGAACTTTAATGGGAAGCAGAACAGAGCAGAATACGAAGATAGATAGATTTTACTCCCAATATCTACAGTAAAAGGATTTGTTATACGCCAGACATAGAAAATCAATCAGTTCTGTTATTCTTGCTTTATGTTCTCTACAACGAAATAAAACAGAAATCTAACGGTTAGATCTACTCATACCCCTCATCGAAGAATAAAGGGTATATTCAGTTTATCAAAACATTTGCAACGCCAAGAAGAGAGCTTCAAAGACCCTAGGAAGTATATCTATTCTTGATCAGCACCAAATTCTGAATCGATTTAAGCGTGTCCGTCTGTCCCGTTGTCCGTCTGTGTGATGTCTTTTGTAACCATTTTCCTGGCCGCAAAAACGAAATTATCAGTCGAAGGAGACCCGATACCACATAAACTGAAAACACCTCTGTTTTTCAAACGGAACAAAAAATGCTTTTTTCTTCACAACTTATAAAATACAGCAGACAAATCTATAAATCTTTAAATCTACTATAAATCGACACATCCGCCTGGTAGATCCGTCCGTCTGTCCTCCTGTATAGTATCTGCGATAAACATGCTTCCGTTCGTACGGCAACATACATAATAAAAATTTTCACTTTTATTCTGAAAATGTAAAAAACCCTTAGCATCAACTTCTTTTCAGCTAGAGACCATAGGTGAATTAAAAGCAGACCATTTTCATATAATGGGAAGCTTCGAATCCAATCCAAGATAACATAATGCGAACAAGAGGAAATGTCTTTGCACTGATTCGAGTTTCTTAGAGTAGCAACAGTGACATTTACACAAGGGTTATCAAATTTTTTAGATCATCGTTGAATCAAACCAAGAGAAGCCTTTGAATGAGACCTATACGTGCACCTACTCATTTTTATATGCCTATAAAATAATATATTAGTTTGGGGAAAAAGAAATCCATTATTTTTTCGGTAGATGACTGCACTGGTAGATTTATCGTTAAGTATCGATCAAACAATTTCAGATTTATGCTCGTTGGAAAGGTGACATTTCGCAATAAAAAAAATTCTTTTGCTGTTCTTTGTTTGGTGCATTCAGTTGTGAGTTACAGCGTGTTAAAAATGGAAGTGAACAAAGAGAACATTCGGTACATTTTACAATTTTTCTTTGACAAAGGCGAAAATGCAAGCCAGGCGGCTAAAATTGTGAATGGTGTTTATGGTTCCGATACTGTAACAGCCAATTATGTGCAATTTTGGTTTCGTAGATTCCGTTCAGGAATTTTTGATGTTAAAGATGCACCTCGCACAGGTAGGCCGGTCGTCGAAAATGTCGATAAAATCGGAGAAATGATCGAAGTTGACCGGCATGTTAGCAGTCGTAGCATCGCCCAGGAGCTAAAAATCGACCATAAAACAGTTTTAAATCATTTACACAAAGCTGGATTCAAAAAGAAGCTCGATGTTTGGGTGCCACACCAATTAACAGAAAAAAATATGATGGATCGAATTTCCATCTGCGAAGCCTTGGCCAAACGGAATGAGATAGACCCATTTCTTAAACGGATGGTGACTGGAGATGAGAAATGGATCACATACGATAACCCTGTGCGAAAACGATCGTGGTCAAAGAGCGGTGAAGCACCTCAAAGGGCCAGGAAGGTTTTGCTATGCATTTGGTGGGACTGGAAGGGGATTATTTATTATGAGTTGCTTCCATATGGCCAAACGCTAAATTCTGATCTCTACTGTCAACAACTGGACCGTTTGAACAAAGCGATTGACCAGAAACGCCCAGAATTGGCCAACAGGAGAGGTGTCGTGTTCCACCAGTACAACGCTAGGCCACACACATCTACAGTGATAAAAAATTGGAATCTAGGGAGGATTGTGAAAATCGACTACTAGAGTTTTTTGCAAATAGAGACCAGGACTTCTATGAGAGAGGCATTTTGAAGTTACTTTTAAAATGGCAACAAATTGTACAACAAAACGGTGCATATTTGACCTAAATCGGACAATCCGAAGCATGTTAAATAAAGTCCTGAAGTTAATATAAAAATAATGGATTTCTTTTTCCCCAAACTAATATATTTATACATACACTTCTCGAATATTCATTGCATTTCTTTCCGCATGGTCCGCTGACAGCACTCTATAAGGCTTCCGAAGAGTTGTTGAAAGATAGGATTTCGATAAGCTTAAGGAAAAAGTTTCTTTATGCAAAGTTAAATACTTTTATAAAATGTGTCTCAGTTGCCATCGATTTTTTAATGTTCATAATATTTTGCTCAAATTCATTCTTACTTTTGCTGTTCACAAATTAAATGTAAAATGAAAACCTAAAAAAAATGAAAATTTCTTAAATATCTCAACTCCATAGACCTCTAAAAACAGTAACTGTGCGCTGTTTTAATGCAATTTAAATAAAAGCTGTGCTAAATTTTTCGAAACAGCCAATGGCAGACGAGCAGAGTGCACCAGGAGAACTTAAGCAGGACGCACCAAAGGAGGAAGGCGTAGCAAAGGAGGAAGACGCACAAAAGAAGGAGGAGGCTCCAAAGGAAGAAGACGCACCAAACCAGGAGGATGCACCAAAGGAGGAGGACGCGCCAAAGGAGGAGGAAGCTCCAAAGGAGGAGGAGGAGGCTCCAAAGGAAGAAAACGTACCAAAGAGGGAGGATGCACCAAAGAAGAAGGCCGCATCAAAAGAAGAAGTAGCTGAAGGTGAAGAAAAAGATAAAGGTGAAAAGAAGCCAGTAATTGATTGTCCAAAGCCCGAACCAAAGAAGACTTTAAAAGAATTCCAAAAAGAAAGAGAGAAGGAGAAAGAAAAGAAAGCAAAAGAAAAGGAAAGGAAAGAAAAAGAGAAAGCAAAAGCGAAGAAAGAGAAGGAAAGAGCAAAAGCTAACGAAGGTGCTGCTAAAGAAGAAGAACCGACGCGGAAAGAACCCGTTGATAAGCAAAAACCTGTTAATCGAGAACCTACCAAGGAAGAAAGGAGGAAGAAAAAGATAATTAAAAAAGAACCACCACCTGTCTATCGACGTCTTGATTGGACTTTTTATCCCACTTTATGTGAAATCTATAATTGGATGGATGTAATCGCCGAAAAATGCTCTAAAGTAGTTACGAAATTCGAAATTGGTCGTTCGCATGAAGGTCGTTTAATAAGGGGCCTGAAAATCTCTTTTAAAACTGGCAACAAAGCAATTTTTATTGAGTCAAACATCCATGCTAGAGAATGGATAACATCCTCAGCTGCTACATGTATAGTTATGGAATTGCTGTTTTCCAAAGATCCTGACGTGCGTAGAACGGCTGCTGGCATTGACTGGTACATCTTACCCATATTTAATGTCGATGGTTTTGTTTTTTCGCAAGAAAAGGTAAAGCATTTCTAATTTCAAAAAAAAATACGATCCATAATTTCGTGGCCTTCAGGAACGATTGTGGCGCAAATCGAGGAGACCTTTGGAAGAAGCAAATACTCCTGAATCTCCTGAATGCATAGGTGTGGATTTAAATCGCAATTTCAATCATCAATGGGGAGGTAAATCAATTCCGATTTTATTTTACTATTTTTTAACAAATATTTTCAATGTCTGCATTTAATATAGTGATAAAGAGTGAACCTTGCACCGACGAATATGGTGGCAGTGAGGCTGAATCTGAACCAGAAGTTAAGCAACTGGCACAGTTTATTGACACAATACCGGAAGGTACTCTTAAGATTTACATAGCATTACATGCTGCCGGACAAGCAGTAATTACTCCCTGGGCCTATACGAAGGAAGAACAGCCTAAGGATCATGAACAGCTGATGGAGGTGGCCAAGGCGTTTGTTGAAGCCGCTTACCCTCGTTTCCGAACTAAATATATTTATGGACCTGCCGCCGAAATTTTAAGTATGTTCAATATTTTATCTATTGCTGACGAAAAATAAATTAACATTTTGTTAAGACGTCGGAGAATTTTGCGGCACCAGCACAGACTGGGCTTACGGAGTGAAGAATATACCTATATCACTTGGCATTGAGTTACCAGGTAAAGGTAGATATAAACCTTTCGAGTTACCAACAGAATCGATTCTACGTGTAAGCATCGAACTTCTGGATGGACTTGTGGGTATGGTTAAGGCTGTTGGAGAACTCGGTTTCATAGAAAAGATACCCGAACCGCCGAAAAAAGAAATCAAGCCAAAATATGAACGGTCAAAAAAGGTATCTAAGAAAAAGGAAGGAGAAACAGAAGAAACACCAAAATGGGTTACGAAATAAAAAGTCGTTAAATTAGTAAATGGAATAAAAGAGAAATTTTAAGTAAGAATATTATGCATCAGCTGATGCTCCCATCGCTGCAAAGAAAGGTCACAGGTTGACACTGGCTATCATCCCATTAACCGAATAGGTAAGTTGGCTTACTTGTTTATCATTCAAATCAAAATGTATATTTGCTCCTTGACGTCTAAAATGATTAGACAGCAATATTGTCACTTTTCTCGAAATCGGACATGTAACCACATTGAACGATAAAGAGAACGCTTGAAGCACTCGGAATGATTTGTTCAACAGCTTTATATTTATACAAATTCTCGTATGCCTTTCGTCATTAATTGTACAACATTGTATACCAGGGTTGGGCAACTTTTTTCATCAAAATCCCCCACAGTCTTCATATCATGGCAGAGGCCAGAAAGAGAGTTGATAAATTAACAAGCAAGTGAACATTAAAATTTATAATGAAAATTTATTTTATATACATATCACTTATACTTTTTGGTTGAGCACCTATTTGACGAACTGCTTCTAAATTTTCATGGGGTTATTCTAAATCTGATTTTTCTCACTATATGGGTTGCATTGACATAATACGCTAAGTAACCTGAACAAAAGAATGCTAAGTATTGTTGTGCAGGAAAAAGAATATTTTGAAGCATTTCTAGACTATTTGCAATATGGGCAGTAAGTTTCACGAGAATTCGTCTGCTTAAGAAACTAATTTTTTCAAATGTGGCTTCTTATCAGGCATTATTAATTCGACAATATGTCTGAAAAAATTCTCTATCAGAATTTAATTTCCATTACAGGCCAAATATGCACTTTTATCTTGGATGCACAAGGAGCTATCATTTTAAAAACGGTTTTTCGCATCAATTTTCCTTCAATGCATTTCTTACAATTCATTTGCAGCATTGATCAGCACAATCAAGTCAAATTATTTGAAATAGTAAATATAACGAGCCGTTTGCCCATGCCTGCTGTACACCATACTCTATTGCTGTCAGTGCGCATGTCACTTCACTACACCATCTTGAATGGAGATGAGGTATTTCTAGTTAGTTGTAAATCCAGTGCGTTAAGTTTACTTGTTATTTTCGGGTGTAAATGTACTTTGTTAGATATACAAGATAATGTCGTATATGAAAAATTCTGGTATTTCTAAACAAATCAATCGAAAGTGTGTAGAATCAATATTATCATCCACATACAGTAAGTAAGATAATCCAAGCGGTCTGCATCAGCAGCGCCTTCGTGGTCCTCGGGATCTCAGATTTATTCACAACCGGGATTACTTATTATGAAATCTAACTCTGTCTTTGTGTCGGAGGCAAGGTTGTCATAAGGAAAATCTGGAAAGTCAGATCTTTTACAATAATATGTAAGAGACTTTCGTTAACCTCATGAATCGAACAGATTCTTTAGCTCCCCGTAGAAAGCATTTGTATCCGTTATAGATACCGGTGTTTATGCATTAAGGACTTCTTTTCATTTAAGCTCTCTTCATGCCTCTCTTCTTTTCATCTCTACCCCTTTTTTTTATTTAAGTTTTAGACAATATTCGTCAATTTGCGCCGGCTTCCAGATCCATATTTTCTATAAATTGTAAGCTATAGTTTATGTAATGTGGAAGTCGTTGTGGGAGGATCGCTTCAACCTTCAGGCTTGAATGATGTTGTTCAATATATCTGCCAACTTTCTAATTCAATCGTGATTGATTGTAAGTTAAAGTTTCTTTCCTAAATTAAGAATCCCAAAGCATCGAATAACGGATCAGAGACCAACAGCTGTATAGAGTTAATCGCCCCACAATCTGACACTGATCAAGAATATTCATAATTTAGGGGGCTATGGCGTGCGCCCTTTCACTTCAAGTCAAATTCGATTTCCTGCGATATAGGAGTCTTGAGTTTTTGCTCGATTTTGTATTTCCTATTATAGAGGAACAAATTTCGATTGAATCCTCAGCACCAGCCTCGGTTAGTTGGTTACTACTATTATTAAGATTTTCCATCTCGAAAAAGACAATGTATGCTCTTGCTAAGAGGGGGTATCTAGTGTAGATGTCATGGGATGCTCATTGCGAGAGTAACGTATGTGAAGCACATGAGTCATTGTGAACATAGTAAATAATTTATTCTATTAAATAAATACTGTAAGAGTCGTCTTGATTTCAGATGGAGACGATCTCATTCATCGGAATTATAGTTAATTATCCCACATAGCTTGTAATCTGCCAATTAATGCCGGCTTGAAAACGGACCATTCGAATACAAGCCATTTCGTAAGAGATGGTGACGTTTCTCTCTTCTCTGTCTGTCATGAACGAACTTTTTAATGCATGCGTACTCGAAACCCGCAAGGTTTGCTCAAGGTACGACAAGGTAAAAAAATTGTTGGTTTTTATTTACATGTTTTATATACATATAAACATATCCATATTTATAGAAACGTTTGCGGCGTCAGTAAGGAAACCCTTCAAAACCCAAAAGATCCCCTAGTCACTTTCAGCCATCAATGGAAACTCAAGCAATCTGTTTTATAAATCTGGTAGACATCTTTTTAGATAGAAAAAAAAGGATTTAAGCTTCGAGAACATTGCTGACTCCAACTGTACTTTTGAATCGGATTTTAAAGCCGGAAAACGAAATTTACGTTTAAGAATCGTATAATTCGGAAATCAATCGTGCTAGCTATGAAGAACTTAATTGAGCAAAAGTTAAATTTTTGAATAACTTTTTGTTCGTAAAATTTAATATTAAGTTTTTTGGGAAACTTGAAAATATTCCACTGTGTGAACGAAGCCTGCGCTTTTACCGTGAAAAGTACACTAGGGTCATGACTTTGAATTTGATGAGACAAAGGCAACATCGTGATCTATTTCATGTGTAAGCACAGAAATTTTGCATGGGTTTGTTCGAGTAATTGAAGCCAGCACAGATTCTTGTTATATTTAAATTGCAATTAAACAGCGCAAAAAATTATTCATCTAGACCGTACATATCCCGAATCTAAATTAAAAAATAAAAACACCTGAAAACAACAACAGACAACAAAAACAAAATAAAGTAAAAAAAATTTTCAAACAACAAAATTGTATTTACATTGAGCTTACATTACAGAGCTCCGTTTTCCATTTCAATTTTTATTTTAATTTTTTTGTGCTATCCTCTATCATACGTACTATCGTATATGTGCCAGATTAGAATTTGGCGTGATGTGGAATCGATATTACCAAAGAGAATTAATGCGGCGAAGGTGTTCAAAGCGTATTAGAAATAGTGTCGCTATTGATTATTGCCCAACGTTCAGGTAATGTCGCTACTACATTAACGGTCATTTGATTGCTTAACCTTTCATATCCGCTATTTGAATGGGCAGTAGTTACCTCCTCCTATTATCAGCATAAGGACTTTTTAAATCATTTGAAACACGACTGCAAAACAGTTTATCCTCGAATAAGAAAATACTAGTTCATCTCTTACTAAATAAAATACTTCTTTTTTATTTCTGAAAGAGGAAAATAAAAGCACTGTAGTGCTCAACACCACCCTACACTACGATTTCTCGAAATATGGGAAGTGGTCGCAAAAATCGTCTGATCTGTAGCATTTTCGTTTCAGTGCATCATAAGAAAATAATACAGACAGACCAACAGACGAGATTAAATCTTTCCAGTAAGGTGATTCAGAAAGTGAATTTGAATCGAACGGTATAACGAAAGGTGCATCCAAGTCCTCCTGAGTGTAGCATACTTCCGCACAAACCTAATATGCACTAATAGTAACGCAGTCAGGTGAACGGACCAAAGGCTGTGCACATTGAGAATGATATCGGCCTACCGCAAAGTTTTAACGACAGCGGCAGCGGTGCAGGCAAGAGTGTTACCCATCGAGCTACTATTGAAGGGGCAGTTATGTATCCATACTGGTAATGTCTGCAGACTTAAGAGAGCTATCCTGCAGAGCATATTGATGGAATGATGGTAGAGATGGGAAAATGGCTTGAGAAGAAGGTGGACGTACACGATCCAAACGATGATGGAAGAGGAAACACAGGACCTAACCTAATTTTCCGCTGGTCATGGTCATTTTTCATTTGTGCTGTTTCAATTAACGAGCAGATAACACATGCGACCTATGGCAAGACACAAACGACGGTGCGCAACACACTGCTTTCGCCTGTCACGCTTGAGCAAGCTTGAGAAACAGGCTTTTCGGATTTCTGGAATTGCCGCAGATAACCTGCTAGCGATCATATTAAAGAACACTGCAAGATGGAAGAAATGCGCCGGATGTTGCAAGACGCGCTTCGATGTAAAGCCATATGAAGAAGGCATCCGAACTCTTAATCTCAGATGGCGACGAGGGAGGCACGATGATATAATGGGCATCAAAAGTTCATCTCGAGGTAATGGGAAACTGATTCCTAGATTGCTTCACCCCAGTGCAAGGCCGCTAGAAGGAAGTGCACCGCCACAACACCCATAAAAAACGAAAAAGAAATATCCCCTAGTACTACAAGTTTGATAATACGTAAAAAGCGTCGGAAATGAGCAAAAAGATAGGAATGGGTCAGTGAGGGTGCCGCAAAAGAAATTCTGCCCTTAATTCTTCCAGAAAATACCACAAGCGGGCATGAGCGGAAAGTTGACGATCGTCTTAAGTACATACATCATATCAAATGTTTTCTGTCTTACAATTTATTTTTCTCTTCTTCTTCTTTTTGAATATTCAGCGAATCGAGAACAGATAAAACGAGAACAGAGAAAAGGCTCAGTGTGAAGACAATGATTTGTCTGGGTTGTAATATAATTAACAAATAATTTATATTGTTGGTTAATATTAGATTTCTATGTCTATCTATGGACGCTTTCTGATCCGTTGTTGTTATTAAATATTTGTTAAGTATTGATAATAAGAAGGTAACGAAAAGACATGGAAAAAATAGTTCCCATAAATAGATGACGATGAAATTTATGTAGACGACGTAAATATACGCAAAAAGTAAAAATATATCCACAGCTAAAATCATTCGCTAACCTCGTTAAGGTTTAAACAAAGAATTGAATCGAATTTGAATTTTGCTTAGTGGAAAAAATTTAGTAACCATCTATTGTTGATTTGCTAAAATTTAGAAAAAGAAGAAGCAGTAATATTTACTCATATTTTATTCAAGTTAATTTTTCTATATTTTGTACAATCATTAAAAATAATGCAAATTTTTTAAAAGCATTACCGTAATTTGGTCCGAGATTTCAGTATAATTAAGTGTTCAGTCTCTTTGCCCACAAATTAATAACAACGTAGAAAAGATCATGGAGATTACTGATTTTGGATTATCTAAAGAGTACGGACAACTTGACTGGAGCTACTATCCCACGTTAGACGAAATCTACAATTGGTTAGATCTAATTATTAAAAAATTGCCCAAAGTAGTTACCGGTTTTAATATCGGAACTTCATATGAAGGACGTCTAATAAGGGGCGTAAAACTCTGCTTCAAATCCAACCAAAAAGCAATTTTTATTGAATCCAACATTCATGCAAGAGAATGGATAACATCAGCTGCCTGTACTTATTTAATTCTTGAATTATTGTTTTCCAGAGATCCTGACGTGCGTCAAATGGCTAACAGACTTGACTGGTGGATAGTACCGGTATTAAATGTTGATGGATTCGTTTATTCACATGAAAAGGTAGTCCAAGTTTTTGTTTATCAATCAGTAAAAGTGCGTTATTCTTATCATCTATAGGAGCGATTGTGGCGTAAGTCCAGAAGATACGTAAACCCGAATTGCATGGGCGTCGATTTAAATCGTAATTTCGAATATCAATGGGGACGTAAGTTATGTATTATTTTAACATTTGAAATATATTTCAAATAATGATAACTTATTACAGGCATAAAACATGATCCTTGCTCAAACCAATACGGTGGCAGTCATCCTCTCTCTGAACCCGAAACTGAACATTTAACCAAATTTATTAACAGTAATATTGCAGAAGGTACAATTAAGATTTATATAGCGTTACATGCAGCTGCACAAGCAGTCCTTTTGCCTTGGTGTCATACGAAAGAACTGCCTCCAGATTACAAGCGACTGATGTATGTGGCCAAAGCTTTCGTTGATGCTGCCTATGTCCGATTTTGCACTAAATACAGATACGGAACAAGTGCAAATATTTTAAGTATGACATATAGTTGGTGTTGTAATTCAAATTGTTGCAATTTAAACTTCTTCCAAGGTTGCGGAGAGTACTGCGGCACAAGTAAAGATTGGGCTTATGCAGTGAAGGCAATACCAATGGCCTTCACGATTGAATTACCGGGTAGAGGTAGAAAGTCACCTTTTGAATTACCAAAAAAAGCGATTTTACGCGTTGGCTTAGAACTTGTGGATGGGCTTATTGGTATGATTGACGCTATTAAAGCACTTGAAATAATTTAAATCAAAATTCAATAAAAACATAAAAGAAAATAAGTTAAGATATGACGAAAATAAAAGGAAAAAATTTATGTTTAATCCCAATTTTATGGTTTCTCTTGATTCAAAGTCTTCATATAACTTTCATTTTTTTCTTCACATTATATATAAAAATTTTTCTTTGATTCATGAACGTTGACAGTTTTTTTATTTAAAATTCATTCGACTGATATTTTGTATAAAAAATATAATAAAAAATAAAAAATGAAAATTTCTTAAAAGCTAATCTAGGCGAACCTCTGAATAAGACTAATTTGCAATTTACTTTTAAATTTTGGAAAGAGAGCATGGGCAGACCTAAGATTACACACAATGAATCTAAAAAAATTATCGCAGGGACGTATGCCAGCGAACTACGACGAGCTAAGGATTGCACGGCCGATGGGGAAACAATAACAACAAAACAAAGATCAACAATTCTAATGTAAGAATACATATTTAAAAATTTGATTAACAAATATAGCAAAAAATTAATTTTTCCTATATATAGGCGCAACATGTTCCCAAAAAAAAGGCCCACCTATAGAGTTCTTGATTGGTCTTTCTATCCCACGTTATGTGAAATCTATGCTTGGATGGATTCCATTACCAAAGAATGTCCCAAAGTGGTTACGGGTTTCGACATTGGACGTTCCTATGAAGGCCGTTTAATAAGAGGCTTGAAACTTTCTTTTCGACCGGGCAAAAAGGCGATTTTCATAGAATCAAATATTCATGCCCGAGAATGGATCACATCAGCTACTTGCACGTATTTAATAAGGGAATTATTGTTTTCCAGAGATCCCGATGTGCGCGAGTTGGCCGAGAGTCTTGATTGGTGGATAATACCAGTGTTTAATGTTGATGGTTTTGCCTTTTCGCATGAAGAGGTAAGGAAATCGTTATTATACCCAACATATATGTATATTTATGGCATATTTACCTATACGTTGAAGGCCAAGGCACATCCGTCTGTCTAAAGATTTCCAAACTTTGTTTACGAGGTTAATCGGTTTTTTCTCGTGTTCGCTTTTATGAAAAGTCTGCTCACTTCAATAACAAATTTGAAGAATATCGATAGTTTCTTTGGTGTTAGAATTATAAAATAGATTTTAAAAGCTCACTTAACAAAATTTCGAAGCTTGGGTCGAAAATAAAATAAATCGGGGTTGCCATTGTTTTACGCAGTTCCGCGTTAATAGTGATTGGTTACTTGGTTATAAAAAAAAAATAACGATTTACGATATATAAGATACGATATACATGAATGGTTATTAGAAGCTTTTACTGAATTTTACGAAATCTTTGTGAATCGAATCCGTGTTTTATTAATTTTCGATTTCAAACCAATATCTTCTTTTGTGTACAAAATCGATTTTCTATTTTGTTTCATTTCTAATGAGAACAGTATCGTTTATGGCGCAAATCGAGGAGACCTTCTGGTGAGGATTGCATTGGTATCGATTTAAATCGTAATTTTAGTTATAAATGGGAACGTAAGATATTCTTCACTTTTATATATATATATACTTAAAAATTGCTTGCATTCCTAAAGTGAGAAAATGTGGAGACCCTTCCTCGAATATGTACAGTGGCCCCCACGCTGAATCTGAACCGGAAGTTAAACAACTCACAAATTTCATAAATAATAACATACCGGACGGATCCATTAAGGTTTATATAGCGCTGCATGCGGCAGCACAAGCAGTATTAATACCCTGGGCCTTCACGAAAATGCGCCCCAAACACTATAATGAACTTTTGCAGGTGGCGGACGCGTTTGCTGACGCATCATTTCGCCGGTATCACACCAGATATATTTGCGCAACCATGGCTAATGTTTTAAGTAAGTTAATTAAACTAATTTTTGTAAAGTGATTTTGAAATATTTCATAACTTAGAATTAGTTTCCGGCACAAGCACTGACTGGGCTCACGGAGTTAAAGGTATCCCGATAGCCTTATGCCTTGAATTACCCGGAAAAGGTACACCCAGGCGTTTCGAGTTACCCGAAGAAATGATTTTGCGAGTAGGCGCAGAGCTTGTAGATGGATTCATAGGAATGATTAAGGCTGTAAAAGAACTTGGTCATATATAAATTGCGAATTGAAAATTGTAATTGAAAAATTCGGAGCAGGTTAACTTCTAATAAAAATTCGATGTTTCACAAGAGTATAAAATGCGTAGATAAGCCAAAGCTAAATTTTCTACATCCACCCGCAGTTCGACAAAAATAAAAATAATCCTTAAAACTGACATTGAAGTATAATTATTTATATTGTCTATTACACGGTACGAACACGGATCGAGGGACTTTTTGCATTAAATCGAAAGCTAGAATATATTTTGGGAATTGAAAATTCAAAAGCAGTTTAGCCTTCAAAATCCTATCCAAAAATTTGCTTTTGTTCACAAAAGTTACATCAGTTGGGAAAGTTATGCTGCGAAGAGCTATGTAAAAGTTGTTCAAATGGACTCGAACATTTCAAATTATGAGGATTCCAAGCGGCCGCCCGTTTTGAACCTACATGTCTTCTGTTCCGGGAAAAGATGCTAGAGTTATCGTAAGTTGTAGCGCGTAGTGATAAATTAGTTCAAAATCGATGTGAGGAATGACGGGAGACCACTAACACATGTTTTCTAATTGAAGAAACATCTGTTTCTCTCTTATTTAATTGAGATATGATAAAGTTGAGATGGATAATCTTCGAGCAAGTCCTAATCGGGTGGCTTCCGCTGTCGACGAGTCTTCCTTCTTCAACGAGCATCCACTATGCGCAGAAGACTAAGCTACGTTATAATCTTTAATCTTAATCGCAAATTATTGCTAAGATCATAGCACATGACATACCTTAGAACACCGATTTCATTTTCCATGCCTAAGGAAATCTATTATTTTCCTTAAATGTGATTGATGAAGGCAATCGAATTGAATAAATTTAATCATTCATTTCATTGCATGAACAGCTAAGCAATTAAATTTTAAATGAAATGTTTAGAGAAATATAAATTTTTCTTGTGCACTTAGCCTGAGTATACGGCGAGCGCACCCTCGTCTAAGAAAGATGCTCGTAAAATTTATTCCGCCGAATGAAAAATTTTTGATTTGGAGAGACTTCGAAATTATCGTAACGTGACTATGCCGTGCACTGACCTCTACCATATTTATGTCTGCCTACTTTTTCAGATTTAAAAAGTGATCTGAAGCTAGCTGATTCGGTTGGAAGAAAGATCAATCGGCAGATCTTTTTGTAACTAGATTGCTGCAAGGTATTTTTATATTAGACTTGTATGAGAAAAAACGTAACGTGACAGTAGGTTAAAGAGATTTAGGTACGATTAATACGTAGTGAACAATTCCAACTTAGTTTGACAACACAAGTTCAATATAATAATTTTTTATTCGGAGTGGCATAGGCAATTGTCGTCAATTTTGCAAACTTTGCAGAACGGATAGATACCTTGAAGATAATGCCAGCATAGCCAAGTGTTTGACGTATGTCGTAAACAAAATCTACGAAAAAAGCGAACTTTACGGGACACAACTGTGTTAATACTGAGAGAAGCTCCTTACGCGGCTTTATTTTTTAACCATACAGGATGAAATGTTGGAGCATGGAGGCTTGTAAACACAATTTCGCACATCAATATGTCACAGGCAGTTATATTGCCATTCTCTACCAAGTCGATACATTTATTTCTCAATTTGGTTTTGCAGAAACATTGTGAAACCTTGGTGGAGCATCAAAACAAATTAAGGAATCTTGGGCGATATTGCGGGCTCATTATTGTCGTCGAGCAAAGGATTCTTTTTTATGTAGGTGAAGGTTTTAGACCACACGATCCGATGTCCCACATAGGACTTTAATAATTGGAAAGCTTTTTGCGGGTACATATGCCAAGCAGCTTTTGTATGTTTTTTTATGTTCCCAATGATTGAGGCGCGAGGAAGACTTTCCATTGCAATCTTTTTTACTTTGTGACGTTATTTAAGCATAGTTGGAAGAGAAAACTTTTGCTCATATACAAAATTCCGCTCGTCAAAAAAGAAGGGTTTTTTTTTCCTTAACAGTCCCTTTGATTTTTATTTGTTTCGCTTTAGGAGAAAGTTGCTTATCATTCATTCATTGAATGTTGATAGCTTTTTAATTTATTTAATTGTCCCAGTTTTCATAAGCCAAATAATAAAAAATGAGAATTTCTTAAAAGTCTAATCTATTCCATAGAATCATAGAATAGGGCTGCGTTGCAAAGCATTGGAAAGAAACCATGGAAAACCGTGTGAACGCACAAGATAAACCTAAGGAAATGTTAAAGGCAAACTTTTCGACCGAACTACGTCGAGCCAAAGATTGCAAAGCCGGTGGAAATTCTGTTTCATACTCAAAAAAATCTTTACTTTTAATGTAAGTATCTAGGAAATAATGGAAGTAAAACTTTAAAGCCCTGGAATCTTTTCCTAGATAGACGAAGCCTGTTCTCAAAAAAACGGCCAACCTATCGATTTCTTGACTGGACTTTTTATCCCACTCTATGCGAAATTTATTATTGGATGGATATCATGATCGAAGAATTCCCCGGGGTCGTCACGGGTTTCGACATAGGTCGTTCGTACGAAGGCCGCTTAATAAGGGGGCTGAAACTTTCTTTTGGATGCGGCAAAAAGGCAATTTTTATTGAATCAAATATTCACGCCAGAGAATGGATCACGTCAAATGCCTGCACATATTTAATAATGGAGTTATTGTTTTCCATAAATCCTGATGTGCGCGAGTTGGCCGAGAGTCTTGATTGGTGGATCATACCTGTATTAAATGTTGATGGTTTTGTTTATTCCCATGAGAAGGTAAGCAAAACTTACCAAGACCATCTTTCATCTACAGATTTACGTCTCTTCATTGAGCGTAGGAACGATTGTGGCGCAAATCACGAAGACCTGCTAGTCCAGATTATATTGGCATCGATTTGAATCGCAATTTCAGTCATAAGTGGTCAGGTATGCTTTTTTCTATTTTTTTCTTGGCATTTTTATTAAATGTACTTAAAGCTAAGAAATGCGAAAGACCTGCTTCGAATGTATACAGTGGACCTCATCCTGAATCTGAACCAGAAGTTGAACAACTTACAAATTTTATAAATAACAATATACCTGACGGATCTATTAAGATTTACGTAGCATTACATGCTCCCGACCAAGCAATACTTACTCCATGGTCCTATACGAAAGTGCCTCCCAAGCAATATAACGACCTCTTACATGTGGCAAACGCTTTTGTTAAAGCTTTGTATCCCAGATATCGCACCAAATATAAATGTGGAACTATGGCAAATATTTTGAGTACATCATCAGATAATCTTTTATAGTATTTTGTAATTTGCCTAAAAAAATCGTTCATTACTTAGAACCGTTTTCTGGCACAAGTACTGATTGGGCTTATGGGATGAAAGGTATACCAATAGTCTTCTGCGTTGAATTACCTAGTAGAGATATACCAAAGCTTTTCGAGTTACCCGAGCGAATGATTCTACGTACAAGTGCAGAGCTTTTAGATGGATTTATTGGATTGATAAAAGCTGTGAAAGAGCTTCAGTACATTTAAATTGGGAATTGAACGAAAATTACAGTAAACCAGAGTGAAAGAATTTAGATTGAAATAAAAATTGCAATAAAAAAATTAAATACAAGGCCGAAAAGAAGCTATTCCGTTTAGGCCAAATTTAGAATGTGGTGTATCAATATGTCAATTACAATGTCATGCGTAAACATAACATTCTGAGGAGGCTGTACGTTTCTTCATCTTATGTACCCTTTATCAGTTAACTGAAACCGCTTAAAGATCTCGTCGTGCCGTTCATATCTTATTTTGCAAATGTATATGGTGACATAGATTCTGTCTCTCGCAATAAGCTGCAAACTGTTGGTAAATGGTGTACCGGTTACGTTTCTTATAAACGAAAATATGAAAGAGTATACCGGTTAAGATTCTTGATTCCCTTATCCAAATGTACCTTAACATCAGGGACCTACTTTTTAGCACAAACTTATCTGCACTCGAGGAAGTTCAGTTTGCTAAATCGGAACGGACGAAGAATTTTATTCTGCTTGCCCATAAGTATTCATATTAACGTCAAGACTATTCGTCGTTGACGCTGTTAAATTGCGAAATGCAATCACCGCTCCGATAAAACGATTACCAATTTCAGCCGATTTGAAGCGACTATCAAGACCTTCTACACTTTTTATTTACTGTTAGGTTTGTATATACATTTTCGCCCGATATTGTATAACAAAGTACTTATTCAGTCTATATAATTTTTGATCGTCATTACCGTGCAGTAAGAGACTGTGATCGATCGAAAGCAGGTAGGAAAAGTTAAGAAATATTGCACGATATCTGAAAAAGTGGTCTATAGGCTGAGACAACAACATCTCATTACTGATTATGACACCCATGCCACCAAAATTCTTTGTTGCTGTCTTTGCTTTAACGATTCGATCGCGGTTTTCCTCCAAAGAAGTTCTTGATCATGTGTCTTAGCATATTTTTCGCCTTTCTGCTTTTTATGATCAGTTCAGCATTACAAGTTGTTTTTGATAGCTTTTCCAAGTAATGGTATCGTTGAATTGGAGCGTAGGAACTATAATCTGTTAATGCCGCTAGAAGCGCAGCTCAAACTGACTGCATGTGAATGATATCCTTAATTTTCGATGTTGTTGAGCTAATTAAATTGGGCCGGGATTTTTGGTGCCTCGGGTTATCGTAGCGTGTCAACCATCACAATCGACCAGATTTTTTCATACAAACAAATAAAAACACCGTTCCTCACGAATGGCGTTGTTTTAATACTTAACTCGATCTACTCAAAACTAAGAAAAACTATGATGCACTCGCTCCGCGACATCATTTCCATTCTTGAAGTTCTAAAGCTAATAGTAGTGCTTTGATATTGACAAATCACAATACTAATTACTCACTATCTTGGAAATTTGCAATGAACGTCTCTGGTACTGTCATGCTTACTTATTAAGCAAAATAAAATACATAATAGTGACAATTTATTCGTCTTCTCCTTGTGCCTAGCGAACGCAAATTCAAAAGCAATGTATGAGCTAAGGTTTCGGGAAAGTGCAGTCAGGATTGTATCAAATTTTCGTAAAATCAGATATGCGAAGTTCCCTTGGTTTTTCTGTTATGCAAAATTTTTTATAGCGAAACGATTTGATTATTAATGTTACAACATTAGACGCTTCAGTGATGTTTTGATTTCACCAACAATATATCACGTTCTAGATTTTCAAGTAATAATTTTATCTACCTCGAGAGAGGATGGAAATATTCAAATTCAGTAAGTATACGACTAAGTTAAGAATTGAAAGACTCGTTTAAAAAACGATGAGAAAAACATAATTCATTTTTTTAAATAATCGATCATTGTCAAGTTCAGTTCATGGCAGGCTAGCCCTGTCCTTACTCCCAGTTTATTAATTCAATTATGCAAGACTAACACTAGCATTAAGTGGTTTTTCGGTCATCACAACCTGCATTCCTGTTGCCTTTGTAGAATTTATTTCATCCTTCGTTTCCTACCCTCACAAGAGATGAATATTAAAATTAAAATTTCTATTTTATTAGCTGTCTATGCAAATTTTAAGTAGTGTTCGCTTGCCAAAAATTTTTTTATTTCTAAGGTATGAATAAAACCTACACCAGTTTCTTTATTAAAGGAACAACGGGAATTTTTCATTTCTATGGTATGAATAAAATCTACACCAGTCTGTTTATTAGAAAAACACAAGGAATTTCAAATTTCTGTGGTATGAATAAAACTTGTGAGAGAGTGTTTTGCATCCTATCATGCCTTGCCCTTTCACGACTATTTATAATTCGACGTTTCTTCTCCTTAAAGGAGGGAATTCTCTCTTTCTCTCTCTCTCTTTCTCGTTGATTTAGTGATCACGTTCAACGGCGACTGATTTCACTTACAATCCCCTCAATACAAACTTAAGTAGAGCCAGACAGGAATTTACGCCTATATAACATTAAGCCCATGCTAAACTCTTGAGCCAAAATTAATAATCATTTCGATACTCTAAAATGCGAAATCGGTGAGATTGCTGAAATATTTTTTTTTCACTGACACCTTCTACAAATGCATAATGTTTCCACGTGGAATAGTAGTCTTTGCTTCACAACTTTTGATTCTCAAATATTAGTTATCATTGCTTTGTAATTGTTGATATATATATATATATATATATATATACATATATATATATGCTTTTCTTATTAATAAAATTCACTTTTTCATATAGAAAAATGCAAATTTTCAACCATTAGTGAACTTACTAATGAAAACGAATACATGTTGTGATATGAAAATTTTTGGTTAATTTTTAGGACAAATAATGGAAAATTCTACGGAAAATTTAGTACTAAATACAAATTGCAACCCTTACGCGCAAATTATGGCCGATAGTAAAAGATCATTGCTCTTAATGTGAGTATGCAGTGATTTGTAAATTAAAATAAAAGTTAAATTTTTTCTTTATAGACGAAATTTATTCCCACAAAAATTCGACTTTCCACTCTTCGACTGGACTACATATCCCAAATTATCTGACATCTATTCTTGGTTAGATCTAATTATTGCCAAACGCTCCGACATTGTTGCGGGTTTCAATATCGGCAATTCGCAGGACGGCCATTTAATAAGGGGCATTAAAATCTCTTTTAAGCCTGGGAATAAAGCAATTTTTATCGAATCAAATATTCATGGTAAAGATGGAATAACATCAACTGCTGCTACTTATCTTATTACGAAATTATTGTTTTCCAAAAATTCCGATGTACGCGACATGGCCGAAAGTATTGATTGGTGGATAATACCAGTTTTGGATGTTGACGGTTTTGTTTATACATATGAAAAGGTAAACGAAATTTTCTGTCATAATTGTAAACATTTTTTTGTACATAGACAGCATAATTCCTTGCCGGTTTATAGAAATCTTCGTGGCTCAAGTCAAATCCCGATTTTTTCGATGCTTGCCGTAGTTCCAATTATTCACGGAAACGTAAGCCTGACACTTTATTCAAAATTTCTTAGATTAACATTCAAATCTTTTCAAGCAACGAAACCCAATCCTCATTTCGATCAATGCAATGGCCCTCAAGTTACATTTGAATCCACGCCAGAAATCGAGCTCTTAAAAAAATTTATTGACACCAACTTACCAAAAGATTATATTAAAATCTATATAGGTTTACATTCGGGGGTGCAAGCTGTACTTACACCATGTAACAATATGGAAGAGTTTCCACCGAATTATAATCAACTTATGTTCGTGGCTAAGGCTTTCGTCGACGCTTTGTTTCCTAGATTCCATACCCAATATAGTTATGGAACCAGCGCAAATATCTTAAGTATGATAAATATTTTTCCAAGACTGATTAGAAAATGAATTTAAATTATCTTTACGAAGACAAAAGAATTTGTTCCCGTGGAAACACAGATTGGGCTTATGCGGAGAAAGGTATACCAATAGCTCTTGGCATTGGATTACCTAAAGATAGAGCAATGCCTTTTCAGTTGCCAAAGCGCGCTATCTTACGTTTAAGCAAAGAACTATTAGATGGTTTCATCGGATTAATTAAGGCTGTTAAAGAGCTCGGGCACATATGAATATAAATCAAGTGTCGAGAAACTGCGATGCAATAATTTCATGTTCACATAGATTCGAAATTCTATTCAATTTTAATAAAAATTTACATAAATTAACGGTATAAAATATGAAAAAAAAAGAAATATGTTTGCAAATACTTACGTAACACCATATGTTAACAGAGTGCTTGTGCTGGGAGATTTCTAGAAGAGAAGTCTTTTGTTTTGTTTAACAAAACCTGCGATATGCAACAGCGAAAGCTAAGTTTGAGTTACGTGATTATCCCACTGTTGTCGGCTCATTGAACACTTAAGAAGAAGAAGAATTATTCTTCTTATTTTTTTTCCTTTTTTTCTGCAAACTGACTCTTTTTTTTTTATTTTCGAATATGAAATGTATAAATAAAAACGAAAAAAGAAATTTCTTAAAAATATAAAGCTGCAAATTTTCTCATCTAAATAAAAGGAGTTCACACTCCACATGCTGCTTAATCGCTATAAAAAAATCGATTCGAGATTTTGTACAGATAATGGCGGGCAATCCATCTCAGGAATCGAAGCAATTCATCGTAGGGACCTTTACAAATGAATTAAGACGGGCGAGGGATTGCCGGCCCGGTGGAGATACAATATCTCATAAGGAGAGATCATTACTTTTAATGTGAATATTCTCAAATCCGATATATAGAAAACTGCATTTTTTACCTTTAAAACCATAAATTTCATCTAACCAGACGAAGCCTGTTTCCAAAGAAGAGACCTATCTATCGAATAATCGATTGGACTTTTTATCCAACATTGTGTGAAATCTATTTTTGGATGGATTTTATCATGGCACAGTATCCTGAAATAGTTACAGGTTTCGACATCGGTCGTTCGTACGAAGGCCGTTTAATACGGGGCGTAAAGCTTTCTTTCAAGCGCGACAGAAAAGCAATTTTTATTGAATCAAATATTCATGCTAGAGAGTGGATAACGTCAGCTGCCTGTACATATTTAATCATGGCGTTATTGTTTTCAAGAGATCCTGATGTGCGCGAGCTGGCCGAAAGTCTTGATTGGTGGATCATACCTGTATTAAATGTTGATGGTTTTGCTTACTCGCACGAGAAGGTAAACAAACCATTACCTTATTTAGCAAGAGGGTCTTTCGTTTAGACATTCATGTTTCTTCGTTGACTATAGGAACGATTGTGGCGTAAATCAAGAAAACCTGCTAGTCCAGATTGTATCGGCACCGACCTAAATCGTAATTTTAATTATAAATGGTCACGTAAGACATTTTTCATTTGAATCTTTGATAATATTTTTAAATGACGGATATTATTGTAGTTAGAAGATGTACCGATCCTCGCTCAAATGTATACAGTGGGCCTCATCCTGAATCTGAGCCAGAAGTTCAACAGCTCATAGAATTTATTAACAATTACATACCAGAGGGTTCTATTAAAATTTATGTAGCATTACATTCGGCCGCTCAAGCAGTACTTGTACCGTGGACCCATACAAAAGTACCGCCTAAAAATTATGATAGCCTGATGTATGTGGCCAAAGCTTTTGTTGAGGCTTTGTATCCCCGATATCACACCAAATATCGCTGCGGAAGCAGCGCTAACATTCTCAGTATGTAAAGTGATTTAAATTCTATGATTTTGATCCTAAACTTTCTAAAAATTAAGAAATGTTTTCTGGGGGCAGCAAAGATTGGGCCTACGCGGTGAAGCATATACCAATAGCTTTCACGATTGAATTACCCGGTAGGGGCAGACCAAAACCTTTTGAGTTACCAGAGAGAGAGATTTTACGCACAAGTGCGGAAATGTTAACAGGTTTTATAGGAATGATCAAAGCTGTTAAGGAACTTGGTTACATTTAAATTGCGTAATAAGCAGCGAAAAAATGCATTCGAATTCGAAGCAGTGTAACAGCGAATTAAAATTCAATGAAATGAAAGTAAAATCAAATAAAATAAAATAAAAACAGGGAATGAGCTTTGTTATGTTTCTATGTATACACCACCAAATAATCAAGTACGTTGTTATTAATTCCCTTTATGAGTACGAGTTTGGTAAAAATTTCAATTGCCATCGACTCTTCCGCGAACGTAATCATAGCTTTTTCATACCCTTTACCGAAGCTTAAGCGATAAACCCACATTTCGATAGCGTTTGGAACATGCATGTATATCCTTGATCACCATCAAATTCTGAGCCGATTTAAGCATGCCCGTATGTCCGGCCGCAAAAATTAACATAACGACTTCAAGCTTGGGAGAAACTGAGAGTTCTTGAAGGGAAATTGGTATTGCGAACCGGCGTTTTAATAATACCTACCATATGGTGGTTTGCAACGAAATGAATTTATCTTAAATTAATTTATCTTAAAAATAGTAAAAGGTTTTCCTTGACCTTTTGACGTGCGCTCGCGAATCACAGCGATTTGAAATCTCCGCTTATGGTTTCTAATTAGAATTGAATTTTAAGAAATTTTAGCCAAAGTTTACATATACCCAACATATACCAATCTAACTCAAATATAAATATGCTGTTACATGTACGTTATTGCTTAGATGGTATCCAACAAACGTGAAATATACGCTTCGCACAAGCAAAAATAAAAGCATTGTTCCAACGCATTGTAAGGCACATTCAATACGAACGTGGCTTTAAGAGAAGCTTTTCAATTATAAATATATATGCAGACTAAATTGTGTGCTTTATGCGAGGATAAAAGATAAATATTGCGGACATAATGATGGCAGGCCTACAGCCACAAAATAAGTGCACAGTATTCAAAATGAAATGTATATTTTATGGGTTTTGTATAGAGTAGCGGCATTTGAATTTTATACATATTATTTCACATTTGATCTTTTAGAAAATAGAAAACGCAGGCATAATCCAAACAAAGCATATTCAGACATGGATTTTTTGGGAAAACAAATCTCCAAAAGTACAAGATAGTTGACACAGTATTTATAATATATATAAAAAAAATTTTTTTTTCCAATAAACGCGGGAATTGTCCCAAATTTTGTATAACATGCAACAAATCTTTTTATGTTTGAAAATGGTTTTAAATTTTTTTTCTTCATTAAAGTTTAAAAACAACATTGTTACCTAAACAGAATATTGTTGGCAATTGAACGCATATTCTAAGGCATAAAGATGTTAGCGTGTACTTACCTTAAATTTGAAGTATATTTGAACATAGCCAATCGTAGATGAATGTTGAGCAAAATATGGCAAACAGAAACTTGCTACTATCTTTAACAACAAATTACTTAAATGCTATACAAAAGAAAACAGTCACGCAATTAAAATACAAAGGGAACAACAACAAAAAGAAAAAAAATCAAAAAAACTATATTCTCAGACTTAATGGGAACAAACGTAAAGTCCACGGAATTCTCTGATTAATAACAACAAATTTTTGCTTATACACACAACCACAAGCAATAACTTTCGTAGGACAAGTGCATGTGCACTGTAGCATACACACGACCACAAACACGGCAGAACAAGGCAAAATATTTCGGATTCAAGAAACCTTTACTTTTATTATGTGCTTTAAAATGATTTCACTTTAATTATTTACGAGGTTCAAATTGGAATTTATCCGCTCAACAACGCAATAGCTGCAAACATTTCCTATTTGACTGTATGGTTGCTTGACACTTTAGCAATTTTTCCAAACGAAATGTTTTCTCTCCGTATACTCTAAACACACTAAAAATATTAAGCAAGAAATTTGCATATTTTGTAAATAAATGTGTTTTACATTTCACAATTTTTTCGAACCAACATTTTTGACCGTCAATTACAAAACGTGAACTTTAGCGAAAAGGATTTACTAATGTGATCTTGACTTAGCATTGCCAGCTTATAAAGTTTATTAATATAATGTATTTTAGTTATACAGTATTATCTCTTGTTATACACTGTCGCAGTGTTGTCTACATCTATTTAGTGTTTCTAATTTAAAAATCGACGAAAGAAAAACGTTTAGGAAATGAAATAAAAAGGCGATGATTAGTAACAGATTTACGTTGTTAAAGATTTCAACAAATTAGTTCCTCGTACAATTATGAGATTTTTTTTATGCATTTGCTTGCATCTGCACAAGAAAGCAAAGGAAAGAAAAGAAACTCTTTATATTCATGAAAGGCTAGATATTTTTGTAACTTGAAATATAGATAACAACGTAATATGATTTTTTTTTATTTTAAAGGTATTTTTATCGAAAATGATTTCATATAAGTAACCACTTCTGGAATTTTATAACGATTGGTCTCCGAGACACCAATTTGAAGCCACTCTTCCACATAAACTTGAGTGTTTGAATAACTCAAAGACGTGGCAAAAGTCTCTCCAAAAAAATGTCTAATAGAATTGTATGGTGCTGTCTTGGTAGCTAGCTCATATTGCAGATATTCTCCCAATAAATGAGTTACACCGCGAGATGGTATCTTATTACGATCATCCATCCGAGTCGAAATCATCGCGCCATAAAAAAACAAAAAATTGTGGTTCTATAGCATTCGTAAGCGGTATTAGGGGTCGCTTTATTCCAAAAGCTAAAGTTTTGCTTACTTATGAAGGCATTTAATAGGAAATCAGCTTCGGCGGTATAAATGATTTTTTCACGAAGTAATAGATGGACTCGATTTGCAACTTAAAGCAGCTCTTTCCAACATAAGCACCCTTATAAAAATATTTCTTGTGGTGCTGAGATAAGGACGTCCAATTGGTTGTCCTCGCTCTTTCTTCTCACTTTAGTCCGCAACATCTACATTTCAGAACGTCGAGCAGGTTTATTTTTTTGATGTATTGCCATATGATTTGAGTTTTTCAAATACCTTACGAACAGTAAGCTCCGCAACTAAATTTTATTGATCATAAATCGAGCGTAATACGCGAAAATTAGCCGGAACACATTAATTATTTTTGTAAATAATTTTAACAATATCTACATAAACGCTTTCAAGCTGTGGATGTTTCCATGGAAACTTGACGAACAAAGTTGAACCCCACTGTAAATTTTGGTAACCTGCAAAAAAAAGACTGGACAGTATGACATTTAAAAAAGTATACAGAACTAATATTACCACAATGTTCAAATTTTATCTCGCTTCCACGGAAAATTATGTTTTCATTGGAACCGTGATAGATCTCCTTCTTCTTTTTGGCTCCAAAAAATAAATATACGTGTTGAGAATTACTACTCTGGACCAAGTTTTATAAAAGGATATTAAAAATTAGACCGTTAGTAAATACATTGGTTTACTATTCGTAACAACATCACCAATTAATTTAGCATATCAAACGTGACCGCAAAAAATGTCTGATCCGATCGAAAATGAGATTGATAAACACACTTTAGATCGGAAGGGTGAATTCAACGTACCAGCAGATATCCAAATTAGATATCTGGTCATTAAAACATTCCCACATACTCTTATGCATTACAAATACAATGCACATCGTATATCATATATTTATAAAAATATATATAAGTAAGAGAATTATATTCGCTCGTGCCCGAACCTTTTATGTCTATTACCGAGATCGTAAAAAGAATGAAAAGGACTAAGTTTTTACATTCTGAACGTTGCAAACGTTTCGGCAAAAGGTATACAAGTATAACTTCCTACATACACATTTAACTCTTTTTTACACGTTATTTTTTTGAACGATTTTGGAATAACACGGTTCACCAATGAGAGCCAATACACTTTTTTGCACGCATTTTTATACACACCATTGAGTGATAAGGAATGTACTCACTTTGTCGTGGTGTTCCCCACTCTCAGAATAAAGGCTCAGAGACACTATAAAGTATATATATTTTTTATCAGCATGAAATTCTGAACATGTCTGCTGGACCGTGCGTCTGCTTAGTATCTGTTGTTGAAATTCTCCTGATCGCAAAATATTTTCACTTCGTATTTTTTAGAAAAATTCTTGCACGCACGTTGTTATCGAAAATGGATCAAATTTGTGAGAGTACAAGCCCGCAGTGAGGCGTGAACTGAAAGCAACTCCCCAAAATAAAGTTGATGAAATACTGTGATCAGAAGTCAGTCGGTTTATGCCCACACATGTGTTGGGGAAATGTGTTAGTTAGAGTTAGGGGATTAATTTTTATTCCTTATATCATATTAAACTATTGCATGTTGTACTTATGGATTGAATTTTCGCACTACACTAATTTTATTTCATTTTTGTAATAAAAATGGATTATGATTTTAAATATGAATTTCATTATTAATTTTTTTGCAATGGCTTTGTGGGAAAACATTTGGAGCCTTTCATTTCATACGATTTTTTAAAATTGTGGCACATATCCCCAAATTTACCATAAGTTGCACACATTTTTACACGATTTTTTTTTGCATGGATTTCTTAGGAAGGCATCTATCATATAAAAAAAAGAGTTGGTTGTAGGTAGCATTCGGAATCATGTGATATTAAATTTTTAACGAGATTTAGTTTTCTTTTTTTCTCCCATGCTATCATTTTAATCAACAAGAGCAAATTAACAAAAAAAGAAATTGAAAATTATTGTCTACTCAGTGTTGGAAAATATAATGAAATAAGCTCACATAATTTATTATAATAATTTTGGGTTGACTACTAAATCGAATCAATATCTTTTATGTATGGCATAAAGGTATACAATTTGTTATGCCTGCTTTCAAATGATAAAAACGCAATCAATAAAAATTCACAAAAGAAAAAAAAAACAAAAAATTGCAGAATTAATATAAATTAATGAATTCATGCAAATAAGAAATAAACCATATTTTTATGATTATTATATTTAAATTTACCCTTTTGCATCTAAACATTCAAGCGTGTTTGTTAACTTTGCTGC